ACAGCACCCCGCTCCCTCGGCGCCGACCCTCCGACAGCGCCCCGCTCCCTCGGCACTGACCCTCCGACAGCGCCCCGCTCCCTTGGCACTGACCCTCCGACAGCGCCCCATTCCCTCGGCGCCGATCCTCCGACAGCGCCCCATTCCCTCGGCGCCGACCCTCCGACAGCGCCCCGCTCCCTCAGACCTGACCATGCGCCACCTCCCACATCAGTAAACCCTCCCTGATGGCACTGTGTGGGCGGGTATCCCTACAGCACACATGGGGACGGTGGTGGGTGGGGGAACTGCAGAGGTTCAACAAGGTAGCTCACCCCCACCTTCCTCCGGAGGGGACAATGAGGCGGGGGGGAATAGGCCCAGCCAGCGAGTTGACACCTTATGAGAAATGGTAAGGTTCAGGTGAACGAGGGGGTTGGGGTGGGGGCGGTGACAGGTAGGGGGGAGGGAAAGAGGGGGTAGGTGGGTGAATCCTTACCAGTCCTGAACTCACTCGTTGGCAAATCAGCCAGGAGTCACGTGGACAAGGACGACGCGCGCTCAGTGAAACGACGGGTTTAATTCCGTGTCAAAACCGGAGGTGTTTTTTGGGGGGGTGGGGGAACAGGACGGTGGTCTAACCATCCAATCGAACCCCCCCCCCACTTCCAGACCCCAAAAGCACGAGGGCAGGATCCCAACGCTTTTTGATGTCCACAGCTACAGCACCCCCATCCTCACCCCCACCCCAACTCCCCCATCTTCACCCCCACAACGTATGTGGTCCTGGCACAGAATTCTCTCCTCTTCGGCGATACAACAATGCAGAGGTGTGCAAGGTTTCCGGGATTGGGACCAAGGGGCTGAGCCACCACCCCTCACCGTCCCCCTACCCCTGGGCTGGTTGGGGGAGTGAGGGGAGGTCAGTTCCGTGATTGACTGGGGTTTGGGGGTGGTGCGTGTGTGGGGGTGGTGCGTGTGCGATAGTTGGGGGTGGGGTGGGGTGGGGTGGGGTGGGGCGGGGCACACACGGGAGGCTGGGGGAGGAAGTGGGGTTGGGGTTGGGGAACAAGTGAGCGGAGGAGGGGGTGGTGGTGTTAGTAAGGAGGACCATACAATCAGAGGGAATATCTATCAGAGGGAGGTGCGGGTTGCACAGAGAGAGAGAGAAAGAGGAGACAGTGATGGAAAGGGAGAGAAGGGATGGAGAGAGATAGAGAGAGAGAGAGAGAGAGCTGGGGCAACTGGAAAGGGAGAGAGAGAGTGAGATAGGATGGAGGGAGGGAGGGGATGGAGGGTGAGAGAGAGATCAGGAGATGGAGAGACAGAGAGAGTGAGTCAGAACGATAGGAGGTTAGGTGACAGAAATGGAAGCGGGGGAAGAGAGAGAGAGAGAGAGAGGTGGGGGCCAGATTGAGGAGAGAGAGTGGGAGACAGCAGAAGAGAAAGAGAGAGTGGGAGCGCGAGATTGAAGGGAGGTTGGGTGACACAGAAACGGAGGGGGGAAGAGAGAAAGTTGGGGGGAGAGAGAGAGAGGGAGGGAGGCAGTGGGTGAGTGTGAGAGAGAGAGAGGAGAGTGGGAGAGAGAGAGGAGAGTGGGAGACAGCAGGAGAGAGAGAGAGAGAGAGTGGGAGAGCGAGATTGAAAGGAGGTTGGGGTGACACAAAAACGGAGGGAGGGAAGAGAGAGGGAGGGAGGCAGGGGGTGAGTGTG